CCCCCCCCCCCTCCTGCCCGGCCCTGGCCAGATCGCCGTGCAGGGCTGCCTTCACGGGGAGCTCCGGCGTGTGTATGACTCCATCGCCCTGGCGGAGAAGCTCAACAATGTGAAGGTCGACTTGCTCATCATCTCCGGCGACTTTCAGGCCATGCGCCACTCGAATGACCTGGACACGCTGCAGGTTCCCCCCAAGTACAAGGTGCTCGGAGACTTCCCGGACTACTACTCCGGCCGGGTGGTCGCCCCCATCCCCACCCTTTTCATTGGCGGCAACCACGAGGCCAGTGGATATATGCGTGAGCTGTGCGTCTCCCCTCCGCCTTCCTTTCCGCGCTCCCTGCCCAGCTGTCTCCGACTGTCCTATGCATGTTGCCGGGCCTCGGGCCCCGCGGCGAGCTGACCTCCCTCCTCTCCCCCGCCCCGCTCGCCGCATGCACCCCATGCCGCCAGCATCACTGGTGGCTTCGCCGCGGAGAACATCTACTTCATGGGCAGCAGCGGGGTCATCCGGTTCGGGCCGCTGCGCATTGCCGGCTTGTCCGGCATCTTCAAGCCGCAATCCTTCCAGATGGGCCACATCCACCAGCCGCCCTACTCGCCAGGAACCATTCGCTCGGCATACCATGTCCGGCGGGTGGACATGGCCCGGCTGGCGCTGCTCCAGCACCCGGTCCTGCCCGGAGCGGCGCCTCCTGTGAATGTATTCCTGTCGCACGATTGGCCGGTCGGCATCACGGACTTCGGTGACTGCCGGCGTCTGATTCGCTCGAAGCCCTACTTCGAGGAGGACATTCGCAACCGCGAGCTGGGGAATCCCCTGTCCATGGACATGCTCCTGAGGCCCTTGCGGCCGCACTATTGGTTCAGTGCGCACCTGCACGTCAAGTTTGCGGCCCTTGTGCCGCACAGCCCGGCCCCCGGCCCGGCCGAGCCCCCGGCAAAGCGCCCGCGCACGGGCGACCATACGCCACTCGGGGACGCCACCGGGGCTGAGGCCTCTGCCGGGTGTGAGGCCGCCGATCAGGCGGCGGGTCCCGCCATCGTCCCAGAATCCAAGGTTGCTTTGGCCTGCACGCGCTTCCTGGCCCTGGACAAGTGCCATCCTCGAGGGCACTTCATCCAATTGGTCCCACTGAACCTTGGCGAGACAGTGCCCGGCCCAGCAGGCGAGGACGGCCCGGCCTCGACCCCTCGGCCGGCCTATCGCTTCGAGTACGACGACGAGTGGCTGCTCATCATGCGCCGGACAAATGCCGCTCTTTTCGGGGCGCTCTTTACGGAGGCTCACCAGGAGCGTCTTCTCCGGCAGCAGGCGCTTCTGGCCGAGGCGTGGAAAACCGGCGAGGGCCCATATGCCGAGCATGTGGCCCTCGAGCGGCAGTGGCTGGCCGATCTGCACGCCAAGCACGCCACGAATGACGGCACTGGCTGGGGCGGTATCCCGGTTCTCCCCTTCGAGCCCAGTCTCTCCGACGGTACGCCCATCACCACGGTCTGGGCTGGTCATTCTTCACGCGCGAGCACCCTCCATGGTTGGCCTACGCATTGGCCTCGATGACTAAGCGCCTCTCCTTTCTTTCTCTCCTCCCTCCCCTTTCCCCTTTGTCAGCCCTGCCCACCAGTAATCCGCAATCCTCGAAGCTCAGTCAGATGCTCGGCCTGGAGGACTTCCTCCGGCACAGTGCCGAGACCAGGGCTTGCTCCGTGCGCGACTGGCAACAGCGCACCTTCCTCGACTGGTCGGAGGCCGACGAGATGGCTGTCGCCGCCAGTGCGGCTGCCCCTCCGACCGACGCCGCATCCCCCCTGTCCGACAGTGGGGCGGAGGCCTCGGTCAATTTGGATGCTATTGATCTCGACGATGAGGACGATGATTGGACTCCCTCGGCCGACGGGGGACAGGGCCCGTCGCAGCCGATCTGCACGGCCAACCCGGATGCGATTGACCTTGATGACGACGATGATGCTGATGATGCTGATGTCGATGGTGATAGCGGTGCCGCCATCCAGGAAAGTGCGGGGCAGAGTGCCGAAGCGCCGCTGGCCCAAGATCACAGCTCTGCCATCAATCCGGACGCCATCGACCTGGACGAGGAGGACTTGGCAGATTAGCTGCCATCTGTTGGCTGAAATAGAGTGCGCCGTGTCTGGACAATGTATATTTGGGATGTTTATTTGTTTGGTAATTTGGTCAAAAGCCGAAGAGGAGTGAGGGAGGGGGGGAGGGAGGGGGAGGAGGGGGGCAAAGGGGTTGGGTCAATTCTCATCGTGCTCGGGGAGGGTGTCACCGGGGACTGACACGGACGCCGCCGGCAGCGTGGCCTCGATATCCTCAATCAGAGTCGCAGCGGGCACAGGGGGGTATTCCAGTGCCGGGGACAGGTCATCATCCATGTTGGCCGTCGACTCGGGGAAGTTGCCATACCAAATCTGAAAATACAAGGGTTAGTCGAAAGAGTGGGGCGACAGAGAGCGAGAGAGAGAGAGAGAGGAAGAAGGAAAGGGCACAGAATGGGAAAGGAAGGGGATGCGTACGTTTTGGAAATTCAGCTTCCCGCGGTAGCGAGCCGCAAAGCAGATGTAGGCCAGGACAAAGGGTGCCAGGTAGAGTAGTGCCGGCTGACCGCGCTCGGAGATGGCCATGCTGAGCAGAGTGACAATCAGGCCTGGAAAGAGTAGAAAGCCGTGGGTGGGTGTCAGCCAGGCGAGGCGGCACAGAGGAGAGGGGGGGGGGTGTAGGGGACGCACCGGTGGTGTAGCCGTTCATGGCCATGGAGAAATGCCAGCGCGGCCGGGGCGGGTTCGAAGCAAGCGCGGAAACCACGGTGCCGGGGGGGCCATAGAAGAGCGAGTCGTCAAACACCCCGGCCAAGATCATGGCAATGCCGGGGAGGAAGACGTCACCAAACCCGAGGATGGCGAAGCTGGGCTTCGGGGGGTTCCAGAGAGCCGGCTCGATGCTGTTCAGGAAGTAGGGAAGCTTGAAGACCATGGGGATCTGCGCGCAGGCGAGCATGTCCACAGACCGGAGTTAGAGCGGGCAAGGGGGAGAAGGAGAGAGGGAGAGAGATAAGGTGGAACGGACCTCCTCGCCGTTGTAGCTGTTTTGCACCACAGACAGCATGATATCCGTGCCGAACACGAAGAAGATATCATAGAAGAACGCCGCGCCAAGCAGCAGAGCACCAGTCTGCAGCAGGTGAGGACAAAGGGGGAGGGGTTGGGAAGACAAGGGTCAGCGGGGAAGACATGCGTGTGTGTGTGTGTGTGAGAGAGAGAGAGAGAGAGGGAGGGCAGGGGGACGGGCGAGCGCAACAAAGGAGCAGCCCCAAGGGCGGGTCAAAGGTGGGAATGGCGCATACCCAGAGAGCGCGAATGCGGACAGCCTGCATGGCGGTGGCGCAAATGGCCGCTCCGAGGATGTTCTGGAAGATCCAGGACACGCTCGGGTCCTTGCGAACCAGCAGCCAGGTCAGGGCAATCGAGAAGCTAACCAGGAAGATGAAGGTCCGGAGGAAGGTAAAGTCGAAGGCGATGGAATCCATCATTCGGGTGATCACCGCCGGACAGGGAACCTTCTTGGAGTTGTTGAGCCAGGCACTGCAGGGTTCCGGTGCCGGTGCCGGTGCCGGTGCCGGTGCCGGTGCCGGTGCCGGTGCCGGGGCAGGGCATGACAAAGTGTCAGTCGGAGCAGGTCGGCGAGAGGGAGGCGGCGAAGTTGAGGCATGGGTGCGCGTGCGGACCGGGTGGTTTCATAGGACTCGAGAACGGCCACCACACAGGAGTCGAGGCCCTTCCAACCGGCGATGAAGAAAATCGTGAGCATGAAGTAGACTATGCCACCGGAAGGGAGCCGAGGAGCCGAGAGGGGAGGTTAGGGCTGGCCCAAAGGCGTTGCCATCGGGGCCGGAGGGAGAAAGGACCCGACGTACTGATCACCGAGGGGAAGAAGTACAGCACCAGCAGGGTGATCACCATCTGGACCAGGATCACCAGCACCAGCCAAGCATTCAGGTACTGAGGTTGAACATCGACCGCAGGCTCGGCGGTCGGGGAGCCCACGGTCGAGCGGCTGGGCTGGGCCGCCTGCATTCGGCCAGCGGCAGAGGGTCACTAACAGGACAAGGGGACTGGCCGGTATGGCAGAGATGGAGCAACGGAGGGGGGGGGGGGGGGGGGAAGAACAGGGAGAGGG